AGGGTGAAGAAGCAACGAAAATTTATCGAAGGTAAACCAGACAAACGTAGTATCTTACTGACCGTCATGCAACAGCACTCCATTTTGATGCTGCATTTTGGTTTTAAATGTAAAACTCGTTAAGTATGATAAATTGTGGTTGATCTTTGGTCTGTCATGAAACTGCGAACAATAGTAGAGCACTAGGACCGTTGGACTGCATAATGTGGTTTAAGAGAAAGAAAATTTGTGTATGGTACACTGTGGCGCGATTTCATTACGTGTGTTTAAAGTGCTCAGAGCAGAATAATCTTATAAATTTTCTTAGGCCTACCTTACAATTCTACGGTATCTTTCTAATCTCACTTGCTATGTTTATAGAATTGATAGAACATAACCACTTCCCATTCCATTAACAAAGGAAAGATTGACATTTCAGCTGTGTTCAACGAACGGACATATCAGGGCTTGTTTTCAAAAAAAGACGGCGGAAGCAATTATCTTTCCTCATCTGTGACCGATATACGCCCTTCCACTGAATCCAGAGCCAGTTGGAGAAGTGAAGAACAGCTGACACGCTCTCAGGAACTTCGCTACGTCCCACTTTTGAGAGATGGAACTCCTACCGGTAAAAGGAGAGTGACATCGTATTCACCACGATCATCTCCTGTCCCAGCAGGTGTACCATCGAGTCCTTTCACACCTCGCAAGGGATTCGTCTACGAAATGGCCAGGAAATATGAGTAGGCTATTTTTTTCTAGTCATCAAATTATGAGTGCTAGTTCAAGTTTTTTTAGGCAAGAGCATCCAAACGAAAATGTTTTCACGAGGAGAACCTTTCTGAGGAAATCCGACTGGAAGAGTCCCAAGCAGACCTCAACCTCTGGCAGAGCAGTAACAGGCTCTATGTCCACCATCGGTAGTGGAGCAGTTCCCAACTATAGCACTAGCACTGGATCAAGTGTCTTACCCACCACGGGGACTGATGCAGCTTGCACTACAGGACATGGGAGTGATTCCAATGTGACTACTGGCTGTGGAACAGCTTCTACCTCCAAAATTGGTGATGGAGTGGTCTCGAGGACCAGCAGTGTCAGTCTGCCTCCAAGAAGGGAATCAGATTCTGGAAAAATCTCGGTTCACAGCGCAGTCTACGCGATAGAACATCCTTCCTCACCAAGGCCTTCCACAGCTACAACTACAAGTGTGGCTAAAGAAGGGAAGAATAACAACGATACGGAAACAAGGCAAGTTCATAATCTAACTAGAAACAATAGTTCATATTAATCAAAAACGAAGAAAATCGGAGGAAAAACGATTCCACATAACAAGGAATTGTAGCATAAAGCCAAATGAAGATACGATTCAGTGTAATTCTAATTAGTTTTGATAAGAGATTGAACAGCAATGTTTTGATAGGACTTTACACTGAAGTGCATCACTTTATATCGCAATATGCCATTAACTTGTATCAAAAAGTGTATGCGTCACGTTTATTGTGAATAACAATTCAGGATGCTGCCAATTGGCACAAAAACGTCAGAAGATCTTGATGAAGTGGAGCTGCCTCGGTGGAGTCCACAACGCAATGATGAGTTCTTACAGTAAGTGACAATGCACCTTTCTCCACTTTAGAACCTTGGATTAACGACTACTTTGTCTAAAATGAGAAGATTATAGAGCTTAGTAAGGGGCATCTGTTTCTAGTATGTACACCTTCCCCTTCACTGTTTGATAGTGTGCTGTGCCCGTTTATTGTTCTTAACCATCTGCGTTTCGTTTTCTTGATTTGATGTCAAGATTGTAAGGATTTGAACCAAAATTTTCATAAGATCGAAAAAAGAGAATTAAAGTAGTTTCAGAGTGTATACAAATATCTTTTCATTCAGAATGTTGGTTTGACAAATGAATGGATTGATATAAATAATTATTCTCGCTGATCTTTTTACTTTTGCTACCCCACCTACTTTGGCAACACTTAAAACAATTTCAATTTAACAATTCGGGCATCTTCACTGTTCTTCCATGCAATCAAAGGCAAACATGAACGC